TAATAAATTTGTTAGTCTCTAAGGTGCCACAAGTACTCCTGTTCTTTTTGCAGATACAGACTAATATGGCTGCTACTCTGAAACCTATTATTTGCTGCTTCCCCTCCTTCCACTAACCAATTTTGCTCCATGCTCCACCCATGGGTGCCCCCTAGAGTCAGTTTCAGATTACTACATGCCTCCCCTGCCCACCCTGGCTGGAGGAGTGGGAGGGGGAGGTGCAGGGCAGGGATAATCACCAAAATAAACTGACTCATATAATGCATTAAGAGGAGCAGGGGGAGGAAGTGCACCCCCCTAGCCTCCTGCTGCAGAAGCAGCACACGAGGGGGTGATCCTTCCTGGCTTAGCCCTCCCTTTGCACCAATTTATAGTGCAAGGAAAGAGTGAGATTCAGCCTGCTGCTCAACTCAACTCCTCAACCTACTCCTGCAAGCTGAACGGTTAGGGGCAAAGCTGCTTTCAGAAATAATGACACCTAGTGCTAGATCATTAGCAGAGCAGGGTTGTTATCCCCATTCTAGAGAGGGGGAAACTGAGGCACAGAACACGGGTAGGAATTAACCACAGGCCTGCGGGGTGACCTTGGGCAACCTGGGACTAGAACCCAGCTATCGTGAGTGCCTGTCCACCAAGTAATTAATTAAACATGCAGCCCGGGGTGAATGCAAATGGGGCTGCTGCAAAAACAGGGCACTCACAGCAGGACACTCCTCTCCAGCCTGGTTTATGGCTGCCATCCTGGCCAGATTGTAGTGTTGCCAAGTCTCAAGGGAAAAAAAACCCAGAACTGTCTTTCAAACCACACCCAACCCATTTCAGGGAGGGGAGTGGGGGCAGTGCTTAATTTGTAATGGAAAAGCTCCCCCAGCACAAATTAAGCCCTGCACACACCAAAGGGGGCAGGAACAGTGGGAAATTTTCCTCCTCCGGCTTGGAAAGGAAAAACTCAAATGTTTGCAATAGGGTTTAGCCAGGGCAAAGTGTGGGGGTGGGGGAGGGGGGGAGATGACAGACACATGCCTTTGTCTTCCCAAAGTCAACAGCCAACACTGACTAGGCAAGGTCTTCCCCACCCTTCAGCCTGAAGCCTCGTTGAGGATGAGTGGGGTGAGCACTAAGCGCTGCTAGCACATGGAGGGAGAGCCAGTCAGCAAGCGAGGGGTACGAGATGGCCAGATCCGCGGAGCTGCAGGCGGCAGCCTGGGGAGAGACCAGCTCCGCCCCCGGGCTCGCCCCGCCCCCTGCTCCCCCAGACCACGTGCAGTACAGTGCCGCCGCCCGCCCCCCTCCCCCCACCACCCATCCTGACCCCCACCTCTCCCCTGAAAACCCCTCACGGTCCCCATATGGCCCCACCCGGTCTCCGAAGACAGCCCCTCTTTGCGTCCCCCAACACCCCATTACTCAGCCCCCACCTAACATCCCAGACAACCATCCACTCCCCTTTGAACTAGCCTCCCCTCCGATACCTGTAGCCTTCACCCACCTACCACTGACCCCCCCCCCTTTTTCCCCCCCCCCCCCCACCCCCCCCCCCCCCCCCCAGCTAGCACTCCCCAAGTTCTGTGCAGCACTGTCTCCTAGCCCTGGCGCTGCCTGGGGGCAGGGAGCA